CCCTGTTTTGGGGCACCTTTGGGTTTTTTTTTGGGGTAGATTTTGGGCTGGATTCATTCCCTGTTTTGGGGCATTTTGGGGGTTTTTTGGGGCATTTTTGGGTTTTTTTTTGGGCTGATTTGGGGTTTTTTTGGGGGCACATTTGGGGTTTTTTTTGGGGCAGATTTGGGGTTTTTTTATGACTCTCYATCTCTCCCTCAGCCATGGAAGGCCTGGGTTTCCTGGACGCTCTGAACTCGGCGCCCGTGCCCGGCATCAAAATCAAGAAAAAGAAAAAAGTTCTGTCCCCGACGGCCGCCAAGGTGAGGGACACTTTGGGGACACTTTGGGGACACTTTGGGGACACTTTGGGGACACTTTGGGGACACTTTTGGAGCCATTTTGGGGACACTTTTGGGGACATTTTGAGGACACTTCAAGTCCCACTTTGGGACCATTTAGGCACCATTTTAGGGTTTCTTTGGGTGCCATTTCGAGGACATTTTGGGAGTTTCGGGTGCCATTTTGGGGACATTTGGGTGCCATTTTGGGACACTTCAGGCACCATTTTGGGAACATTTTGGGTGCCATTTTGAGAACACTTTGGGCACCATTTTAGGGATACTTCGGTGCCATTTTAGGGATGCTTTAGGTACCATTTTGGGGACTCTTTGGGCGCCATTTTGAGAACATTTGGGTGCCATTTTGAGAACACATTGAGGGCCATTTTGAGAACATTTTGGGTGCTATTTTGGGGATGTTTCAGGCACCATTATGGGAACACTTTTGAGAACACTTGGGAGCCATTTTGGGAACATTTGCGGTGCTATTTTGGGAACACTTTGAGAACACATTGGGCGCCATTTTGAGAACACATTGGGCGCCATTTTGAGAACACATTGGGCGCCATTTTGGGGCCTCTTTGGGCGCCATTTTGGGGACTCTTTGGGCGCCATTTTGGGGACTCTTTGGGCGCCATTTTGAGAACATTTGGGCGCCATTTTGAGAACACTTTGGGGGCCATTTTAGGGAAACACTTTGGGGGCCATTTTAGGGAAACACTTGGGGTACTATTTTGGGAACATTCTGAGAACCCTTTGGGCGCCATTTTGAGAACATTTGGGTTCCATTTTGGAGATGTTGTGGGTGCCATTTTGGGGACGTTTCAGGTGCCATTTTGGGAACACTTTGAGAACACTTTGGGCGCCATTTTGAGAACATTCCAGTCCCCATTTTGGGAACATTTTGAGAACACATTGGGCTCCATTTTGAGAACACTCCAGTCCCCATTTTGGGAACATTTTGAGAACACATTGGGCGCCATTTTGAGAACATTCCAATCCCCATTTTGGGAACACTTTGAGAACACATTGGGCGCCATTTTGAGAACACTTTGGGTACCATTTTGAGAACATTTGGGCACCATTTTGAGAACATTTCAGTCCCCATTTTGGGAACGTTTTGAGAACACATTGGGCTCCATTTTGAGAACATTCCAATCCCCATTTGGGGATGATCCCCCCCAACCCTGACCCCTCCTGTGTCCCCCCAGCCCAGCCCCTTCGAGGGGAAGCCGACGCCGGAGCCCATGGCCACCAAACCCTCGTCCCCGGAGCCCGCGGCCGCCGAGCCCATGGACACGGAACGGCCCGGAACGCCGGTGCCGGCCATCGAGGTGCCCGAGCCCATGGACACAGGTACGGCCTGGGGACATTTTGGGGGTGTTTGGGGTGGTTTGGGGACAATTTGAGAGGGTTGAGGGCAGGTTGGAGGGGGTTGGGGACAGTTTGAGTGGGTTTGGAGCCCATTTAGGACATTTACTGACACTTTGGGGACATTTTGGGGGCATTTTGGGGGTGTTTGGGAGAATTTGGGGTTGTTTGGAGAAGGTTGAGGACAGTTTGAGTGGGTTTGGAACCCATTTAGGACATTTAGAGACAGTTTGGGGACATTTTATAGAGGTTAGGGACAATTTGGGGATGTTTAGGACAGTTTGAGCGGGTTTGGGGACAGTTTGGAGAGGTTTGGGGACATTTTGGGGCTGTCTGAGACAGTTTGAATGGGTTTGGAGTCCATTTAGGACATTTAGAGACAGTTTGGGAACATTTTAGGGGTGTTTGGGACAGTTTAGAGTGGGTTTGAGGACAATTTGGAGGGGGTTTGGGGACAGTTTGGAGGGTTGGAGACCATTTAGGACATTTAGTGACAGTTTGGGGACATTTTGAGGACATTTTGAGGGTGTTTGGGAGAATTTGGAATGGTTTGGGGACAGTTGGAGAGGGTTGGGGACAGTTTGAATGGGTTTGAAGACCATTTAGGACATTTAGTGATGTTTTGGGGACATTTTGGGGACATTTTGGAGGTGTTTGGGAGAATTTGGGGTGGGTTGGGGACAGTTTGGAGGGGGTTGGGGACAGTTTGAGTGGGTTTGGAGCCCATTCAGGACATTTAGTGACAGTTTGAGGACATTTTGGGGGTGTTTGGGAGAATTTGGGGTGGTTTGGGGACAGTTTGGAGAGGGTTGGGGACAGTTTGAGTGGGTTTGGAGACCATTTAGGAACACTTTGGGGACATTTTATTGGGGTTTGGGGCAATTGGGGATGTTTGGGACAGTTTAGCGTGGGTTTGGGGACAATTTGGTGGGTTGGGAGCAGCACAGGATGGGTTTGGAGATGATTTGTGGGGTTTGGGACAGTTCGGGGGGATTTGGGGACATCGGGGAACACTCTGAGGACAATTTGGGAACACTTGGAGTCCCTTTTTGGGGCCATTTCGAGACCCTTTTTGGCCATGACCCAGCAGCCATTTTGGGGTTATTTTGGGACCATTTTGGGGTCATTTTGGGACCATTTTGGGGCCACTCTGCCCCATTTTAGAGCCTTCCCGGGTACAATTTTGAGGTCAAACCCCACATTTTCGGGGTCCCCCTTTGCTGACTCCCCCTCCCCGTGTCCCCTCAGGCTCAGCCGAGGCCGGGGGTGACCCCAAATCTGCCGATGGCCCCTCAGATGGGGGTCCAGCCCC